TACCAATTGGTGACCTTGACCTCCATTTTATTTTCAGTAATATGAACTGATGTTGTCTGGGAAAGGCCAACGTGAGAACTTCCGAGGTAGACAAACAGGACAGTCATATACATTATTGAATTCACAATATTCATGGACAACCCAAATTATTTCATGTTTACTACTTTTACTTTTCCACTTATTTATGCTGGATATACATTTTGAGTGATATAATGGTGCATCATTTCTGCATCTATCACCAAAAATCTTTGTGTTTTCATTGGCCCAATGAGCTGTTGTCAATGTTCAAAGTATCTTACTTGAGCTAATATGCACCAGCATTCTCACTGAAAACTTTGAACCACCTCTGTGAGTCTCTGATATGGCAATTTGGTTCTCAGATAATATAAGTAGTTTGCAGTCTGTACAAGTACCTCTCTGTGGTGTGGGACTCTGTTGTTTTATTCTGTTCACTCGCTGCAGTGAATCTTTTAGGAAATGGTAAATGGTGAATGGACTGCTTTTATATGGACACAGCTGCCTTTTAAGCAGCCAGTAAGAAGATTAACTGCAGGGTTTCAGATCAAACAATGGCTTTCTGTATTATACCAGATACCAGATCATTATTTGGCTTTGAACTATTTGAAAAGACGTGTATGTTTTAAGTTTGCAAGTTGATACTCTAATTTAAACTAGAATGGCGCTCAGTAGAGCACATATCTCTGCCAAGGCCGAACAATTCTTCACATTATTGTCTATTTCACATAGTAGAAATATAAGAGAAAAAGTAACTGATCTGATTGATTCAATTATTCATTTGTAATAAAACTGTAAGAAAAGTGAAAAAAATTATTGAATCCATATCTGCACCAGGCCCCATCCCTCTAACCAGTTTGGTGGTTTAGTATTTTTTGCGTAATCCTGCTCACAATTCAACCCAACAACCAGCAAACAAAAAAAACAGATTCAGGTGAAAACATAATCTCCCTGGCTGAGATAAAAATCCAAAACACCGTAACAGTTGGTGACACTATGGGGCAGGGCCAACCACTTCGTTTCCATCTTTTTCCTGTTTTGCTGTGTTTGATTTATTCAAGTGGAAAGTTGTCAAAATAGTTGCACCTCAAACAAGCTTAAAACATATGCAAATAACAGGATAAACAGAAACTCTGGTAATATTCACTGTGCATAGCTGACTTAATTAGATGGCAAGGCAGAGGATTATACAAGTAAACAGAGGAGGGAAAACCAAATCTGAAGGGCTACATGTGACGCAAACAACCGATATGAGCAGAGAGGGTCTCACAGTTTTGATATACTGCACCAAAAAACTCAAAATGTTTTTTAATTTGGAGTGCATGCAAAACAAGTTGGCAACTTTTTCATGTCAATATGAAATCAAAGAGGAGCCACTGCATCCATATTCTGACGGAGCGTGGCTCGTCAGCTCCACAGTGCAAATCTGGAGTTACTTAAGTTTGATAAAAGTCAGAAAGGTTACGTATTATTTTATTTACAAGGTGATCTGTGTTGGTGTTCTCAAGATTAAGTATAAATTCACAGTCAACACTGAGATTAGTGTTGGACAAAGTGACAAAAATCCCTTTCTCTCGAGTCCCTAAATCACTTCTTGCCTGTTTTGTTCACTCTTATGTTTTCCACTCTTATGCAGGACACCACAGCAGGTGGATTTGCCTGTGCTGAGCTGCTTCAGCATTTTTTTGTCCTTGAAACGAATGCTTCCTGGCTTGTTTGTAAAATAAAGATTAATCTAGTCTATCCCTTTGGCTCCCTAGACGTGACGCAGCATGTCTGTAGATCTACCTTTATACAAATGCTTGAAAGCCTGACTAGTACTGGGATAAGACTCTTTGATTGTGATGAACACCGAAATCCTTTTGCATTTTTGTGTATCATCCCTAGAAATAATGTCTCTAATGATGAAGTAGTGATATTAAGGAACTATATTAACAGTACAAATGAAAAATGTTCTGAAATGAAGAAAGCTATATATTAAAAATAGAGGTTTATTTATATCAGGTATCAAGAGCATGAAAAAGAGAACAAACTGAGACACGTCTTAACCCAAGCCACAGGATCTTGGCAGTGTCTTGACTTTGCACTGGACACTACACTTAATTATGCTGTAATTATTCAGGTAAAAAATGGCCGCTGACACACCTCACACTCATCGGTCCCCCTGAACAAGGGGGGGGTCATGACAGATGAGCTGGATCTGTCCCAGTGAGGAAATGACATTCACTGCTGGCCTCCAATCCTAGATTCCCTCTTCTGCATGATGGGACTTTTGTATAGGGAGGAGTCTGCAGGCTTCATTTAGCAAAGCAGCGGGGAATAATATAGTGCCAGCATTCGGATGTGTCAGGTCCCATATCTCTGGCTGTTCTATTAGAAATAGACACCAGTGTTGGACAATTAACCCCTGGCCTCCGCAGCAGATCTGTGGTGTTACAGCCCAGCACGGGGCAATAAATCAAATCTACACGGAGAAGCCCCCTCTCCCCTCCCCCCCGCTGCTTGGCACCCAATGGGCTGAGCTTACATGATGTTAGATGCACTCCGGCCTTATCATATAATCACTGGAGGTGTAAAAGAGATGCAATAGATTGGCTGTAGGCAAGGACACTCTGAGAGTGTTTGTGAATCAGAATCTGAAAGTCCGATCAACACACTGGACCAATGATAATCTTTTAATCCAAGGAGCAGGAGGAGGACTGACATTGATATGAAACAGTGGGTCTGTGTTGAACCTTGATACTGCTTGTGAGTGCTAATTTAAATGTGCCTGTAGCAACCAGCAGAATAAATAATAGAAGGAGGTCAGACATCATATCAAATAAACCAAGACAATCGCCTAAATATCAATGCTGAAGACTCTTGTGAACCAGCAGGTTGATTTTTTTTTGTATTTAGTGAAATTTCTCAAACTATTCGACAGCTTGTCATTTTTCTCCTCAGGATGAATTATGAAAACTTCTCATCCAAATGTTTTATTTGTCCAACACTTTGAAGCGATTACAGGTCAGTAAAGCAGCAAAGAGGGTTGAGAGGGTCTTCTATTAACCAGTAGTTTGTTGGTTTGATCCCCGGCTCGAAGAAGTGTCCTTGAGCAAGATACTGAACCTGAAACTGCCAATAGTACAAAAGTGTTGATAGAAAATGTGCTGCATATAGAAGTGCTGTATGAATGTATGCATGAATGGATGAATGGGACTTGTATTTTAAAGCCCTTTGATTGGTCAATAAGAAAAAACACTGCCTATTTAACATTTAAAGGTGATGCCATTTCCTCACTTTTACTTAGTGTATGGTGCTAGTTGGCAGAGGTTAGCATGCTAATACACCAAACTAAGATACAGACTGTAGTCTTCATTAGAATAAGGGTGAAAATGAGAAAGTTACGAAACAGGTGTGACGCAAACTGGGAATTTTGGGGTTGATGTTTTAGCACCTTAAACTTGAACTGACAAGATTGCCCCATTTTGTTGTTTTTAATCTAATATTTACCGATATAAATCAGAATTTTATGTTTCATTGTATTTTATTCACACAAATTTTAGATGTCTGAACATGTCATAAAAACTAAGTTATATTTTTTTTCATTTTATTGTTTTTGTTATAGTAAAAAACCTAGGCCTCATTTTTGCATTGATCAAAATGAAATATGAAAGAGCATTTCTTTTGTCCTCCATTTTATTTGACCTGCATCATAACAAACCAGTGCTACAATCACACTAACCTGTAAAATACCGTAATCTGTAGCCACCTTATAAATGTGAGATTTATGAATACTGACTACATTGAGGCCCGCTGTGTTTTTTTGTCTGCAGCTTGTCACGTTGAGACCATTTGTTTAATGGGAGATTAGAGAAAAGAATGAGCAGCAATAAAGCTGTGGAGCACAGGGGTCACCTTCAGGACCTGCTCGTGGTTATTCCTATCATTAGCATGTCATGTCTCGTGCTGCCTTGCTTCAATTATTACTGACACAGGCTCCGGTCTTATGGCTGGGCTGTTCCAACTGCCCACCGCTAGACTGTAATTCTCACACCGATGGCCTAATGTGAAATATGGCAACAGATGCAGAGAGCAGCGACTGAAGCACATTATTCAGGACCCAAGGGCCATTAAAGCCATAGCTATTAAATATAATTTGAAAAAATTAGTTTTTTGGCGCATGGAATAGCAGGTTGTGAGGTATTATGATAATCACTAGATTCCCCAGGGTCCCTGCTCTCTCCAAATGTTATTACTATTTGTGAATGCCTTTGTGAATGGGCTCTGGGATATGTAGTCTTGTTTGTGACTGTTTTATGGGAGGGGTAATGCTCCTCAGATACAGGGGCAATTAATATATTCGCTAGGGTTTGTATTCTTTTGTGCGATTCGGAAATAATTACGGCTCATTGCTTGACATGCTGCAGGTTTGAGAGAATTTTTGCACACGTCGACACATTTTCTTTTGTGCAATTTCAGGTGCACAAACTCTAAAGACAGTACTGAGCTGCTGTTTAACCTTCATGTGAACATTCACACCAGGTTCATGGTCACAGGCACTGACCTGAGCACTTTGTCATTCTACATGTTAATATTGTTGTGTTTCCAATATTCTAGCCATTACTGGAGGTTCAGTATAATGGTTGGTGCAGATAATCTTCTTTGGTCAACTTGTGAAAATTTGGTGCAACAACATACTCACCTCAGTAGCAAACACAGGTCACTGCTTTGACTTTAAAGGGTAGAGAAGTGTGCAGCTGCATTTGTGGTTCAAGTGAACGTTAAATGTAAGAAGAAGACATAGTGGATATATTTGATTCAGCGGAAAACTGAAAAATAACACATGACATGGAAGCAACACACAAAAATCACTGAAGCTTTGGTATATTTAAGTAAAAAATCTTGAATAACCAAAAAAATTGTTTGTGATTCTTAATCTGTCTTAAATGCCAATAAAGTTGTCTGTTATCACTGTTGTTTAAATTATTCCTTTTTTCCCCCAGCTGCTGGCTGCACGTTCGAAGAGGATTCAGACCCCACTCTGTGTGACTTCACCCAGGGGGAGGATGACGACTTTGACTGGCTGTTGTTTCGCACATACAATTCACCGTACGCCAGCTCTGACCTCCTGAAGGGTGAGTGGTCCTCCCTCCTTTAGCCTGTACTTGTATTGCGTATTCAGACCACTGCCTTTTTGTGTTGTCATATATCTGTACGCACGCAGATTTTTGAGAAGACAGAGTAGACCCCAAAGTTTGGTTTTATACAAATCTCACACTGAAAAGTAAGAATTTATGTGACCAGAGGCAATTCCTTTTAAATATATCAGCAGCTGTTTCTTTTTAAATGATCCTCACATCTGGGGATTTAGCTTTTAGCTTTTGTTTGTTTCTCTGTGGCTGACGTCAGGAATGTGTGACTGCGTAATTCAGCCTTTGCAGATGTCCAGTGGCCATTATGCATCAGCTTTAATGAAGCACTCACCCCAGTTTTGTCTACTTCCCGCCAACCCCAAGGATAATTTTATGTTAACCAGCTTCACAGGACTAATGGAAACCAGCATTTTCCTGCCATCATCCTCTCTACTGGTGGTTGCCAGAGGGAGATGGCATGCATAGTTTATGAGGCGCTCCTCCGTCTCTGCATTAACAAATACCTACAGGGATCTGACAAAGAGAGGAGTGCTGTTTCAGCTTCTCAGCAGAAATATCCGCGGCAGCAGTGGGCTCTCTGCTCAACGACTTCTACAGCGGAAACTCGCTGCATGATTAAGGTGCCAGCCTCACATGAACCAATCAATCAATCTATGATATGGTAATGAGAATTTAACTGAGCCATGACAAAGACATGCATTTAGCTGTTCATGTGCACGAGAGGTAGGGTAAGAACTCACACATTCAATAGCCACAGCAATTTGCAGCCTGAAAGGAAAAAGTGACATCAGTTGATGGCAGAGGAGGCAGCTCAGTGGCAGACAAAAAAGAAAGACGAGTGAAGATGAACAAATGGAAAAATGTCGGTTAGGATACAGCAGGATTTCGAGCAGTCTTTCAAAACGATCCAAAAGTTCCTTCAGGGATAAATGCTGTATTTTTAAAAGCTGTGTACCTCTGATTTCCATTTATACTACCAAAATGCTTCTTGTCTGTAGGCGTCTCTCGAAATAGAAATTCTCTCCAAATTTAACAAATCCCAAATTCAATCCTAAACTCTTAAACCGAACCTCCTTCACCTCCACATCATCAGCATTCAACCGAGAATCTGCCTGCAGCCACCAGCCAGTTCATGGCAGACGATGGGATAATTAATACTTTTCCCTTCGGGTTTAATTAAAAGTTGCTGCCCTGGCATTTACAGCAATGTGCAGCTTTCAGCGGAACAGTATAGCACAGGTGGAGTGAGGCAGGTACTGTAATCTGCACATGAGGAGACGGCATTAGAGACCCAAGGCATCAACTCCCGATCGATCAGCTCTGAAAACCTGGAGATGAATTCACTTTAATTTAGTATCCGCTCATCCTCCAGCTCCACATGGGAAGCAGTGTATTACTCATGTCCCCCGTGTGGCTGGCATCGTTTTACAATGACAGGAGTGTTCAGTCGTCAAGTACGTCTCGACATTTTCGCTGTCTTATTCAAGGTGGATAGCCCTGCTGCGGAAATTGGCACAGGAAATGTTTTTCTCTTTTTCTTCCACTTCTCTCTGACTTAATCCCCCTCTGTGAACTTCTAACCATGTATCACATTGGGTAGCCAAGGTGGAGGGGATAACAAGAGTTTATGAGATAAGGCTATTTACATTGGACCAGTATTAACTTTGTAGGGCTGAGAAATTGGCGTCGAGGGAAGATTAGTAAACACAGCTGAGATAGCAGCAGCTTGTGGCTCCCAGGAGAAATCAGATACTACCGTTGCCATGAAATAGAAAATTGTCTTGGAAAAATGGAGATAGAATGTGGTGAGATGTTATATTCATTTTGAATAAGATTGGAGACGTCTGGTCGCTATTGATCATCTTCAGCTCTTTCGCTGTTTTAATGAAAGAGTTAGGCTCGCAGGAGGATGACCTTGTAAAGAAGAATGTATCGGCATGTCAAGTATACCTTGTTTTTCTTAGAGACGGATTCGTTAGCTTCAAACGTTCTGAGTCTGCTGCATAATTCATGTTTTTTAAAAGAAAAAAACACATTAAACCAGTTTTTTTAAAGAACAGTTAAAAGTGATGTGTATTGATGTCTCTGTTCACATTTACAGTTGTTGGAAATACAGTGTGGATACCTGACCGGGATATGCCGGGACCCGAGAGGGTTGCTGGGTTTGGATCAACATTTTGAAATTTTCTACAGGCTGGGATCAGGTTTGGTCACGTTGGCTGGGCTAGCCTACTTGACTTGATGCTTTCATGTAGTGAAAATATAGCATGAAAATAAATGGGACAGGGTAACACAAACTCAGTGCAGCTTACATTAATCCATTAAGACCTAAGACGCTGAATAAATACACACTCTAAAACCTAAGCATTGTTTGAAAACTATCTGAGGGTTTGCTGAAGAGCCGAGTTTCCAGCGTTTACAAAAAAATCGAATTTATCATCTTCTGAAGCCGATTGAGACATGAGATTAAAACATTTGTAAATAATTTAATTAATTTAACATTTAAAAAAAAAAAAAAAGACGAAAAACAGTAAACCTTCTTCCTCAACCCTTAAACATATCTCTTACTGACTGATTAGGCACATAGTTTGGGTCTGTATCTTCTTCATTGTAATTTCCGTTAATGTTTTCATCAATGACACACTACTGTCCTATACTTCAATATTGCTCCCCTCGCTAACATTGCCACCCATTGTCTGAAATGCTACTGCCAAAACCAGGCTGAAATCACTATCAAACAAAACCACACATAGACTACACTTCCCATAATGCATTGCACCTTACTCACAAAGTATTTCTTCAGTCCTATATCTTGAAAACCATGGCGAAGATTAAAAGCAGAACTTTTTCAGCTCTTCAATAAATTTCAGATTCTTATCAGCCCAACAGAAGCACAGAGGATATCTCAGATTGACTCAAAGACGAGGCAGAGATAACACCAGTGACAGAACGGCCACAGCTTGCATGCACTCACGAGCATGCATCAGTTGCAGATAACTTGCAAAATACAACAACCACTTCAGTGGCTCATTGTACTTTTAACTCCAGAACACAACACACTGAACACCTAAATGAATTATCTGCCAGTGTACAGCAGCAAGAACTCCCTTGATACTCAAAACTCATATTTCTTCATCAAATAGTGAAGAAAAAGGAGTACTGAGAAACCACTGGAATTAAATTCAAGCTTTCTTGGGCATGTCTGGTTTGTGTTTCTGCATTATCTGTAAAACTGTGAAGTTAAATCAAATTAAAGTTTGTGGTAAGCACCTATAGGGAAACACCAAACTGACGTTAGATTGACCGAAGTGGCTACACTGAACTTCATATCTTTCCGCAACGCACTGAATATCACAACCTGATAATCTATGTGAGGATGTTGGATGTTTGAGACTGAAACGTTCCATATTCAACCCTCTGTTCAGCAAGGTGTTTGTTCTTGTCGAGGTGCCACCGAGCACACAATCCTTGCTCCGTTTTCCACCTCAGCAGATGTACAAACAGTGTCTCTTGAATGTGCATAAATTGGGGCTTTAGTTTCCAGCTGAGTCATCCACAAATTCTCTGTCAGGACTGAAGTGTTGAAATGTGCCGCTGCTCTTCTTCTTCATGTGTTGCATGCTAATCTAGCAAAAACCTTCTCTCTTCCTGTCTCTGTTTGTTAATATCTGCTGTAATGTCCAGTGGCACATGAACCGTGAACGCAACTCCAGCTCCGTGTGTGTATTTGTACATCACGCTGCAACAAGCTACAGTCAGTAGTCAGTCGACGGGTTGATTTATTGGCTGCTCGTGCAATAGATCCTCAGATAAATACCCTCAGACATTCTGAATGGACTCTGATGTTGGATGGGACCTCAGGTCTCAGGAAGGTTAAAACTAGAATGAAGCATGTCTTAAAGCATTGTTGTGAGGTCACAGTCTGTTCAGACAGCATATACTGCAGCAGCAGGTTTTAATGACCTTACAGAGATAATTCTTGCAATAAAACACAGTATCCTCCATCTGTATCTCCAAGATTCTCTATCAGTCGGCTGTGGAGGACGATGTCATATCTACTGGCCTTTACAATCTGTCCCCTTCACCCCTGCCCGGCCTCTGTTGTGTGTGTGTGTGTGTGTGTGTGTGTGTGTGTGTGTGTGTGTGTGTGTCATTGACAGTGACCTGATATTTGTCTGTGGAAGGATGAAGCAGAGCGAGAAGACAGATACCGTACATCTGCTGTAGGAGAGCTGTTGTTATCAGAGCTGACCAGCCGTCCTCACTGGTTTAATACTCTATTACACTGCCCTCCTCCACCTTTACATTCTGGCACCTTGCATTTACCACATATACAGTCATATACACACACAGCTTTCATTTGTTGAAGATTCAAAAATCCGTTATTTTTGCTGGTATGACATTTTAGGACAGACTATATACTTTATAGCTTAAAACTTTGCTGTTTGACTTGTAGAGAAAATACTGTTGGTATCCTGCAGTTTCTTTGGGAGATATATAATTCTACAACACAAATTCATTGAATTGTTTAGATGGTTGCTGAAGTGATGGAGAACGAAATCCAGTGAGTAGAATGGCTGTGGAGAGACGTTTGTCTTTGTGTGGCCGAAACCAGAGAATGAATGAAAGGAGGTTGGTCAAAGGTCAATGTGAATGTATAAGGGTCTTAAAAACTATTTTTTT